TAATAAAGAATCTTGAAGATTGGGGACAAAACTTAACAATCTTTGAGTTAATTTTATTGCAAAACTATAATCAGGCGAATGATAGTAATTAACATGGATGTAAAAATACAATTTATACAATACAAACATTTTATCGAAGAAAACATGGAAAACGTTTAGAATTTTGTGGAGTCAACAGATACAGTCGAAAGATGTCTTTGGCTAGTGCTAAATCCCAATCCGCCATACTGGATGGCAAAATACTCACTGGGATGTTCAAAACAAAGGAATGTCATGCAAGCTTGACGGGCTGCGTGCATTTTGTTCTTGAGGTTGTTTACGTTCTTTTCCCTTTACTCCGACGAAGGATTAACATCCGAAACGTCAGTAAGTTATTTCCCATACTTTTTTACGGTGTTAAACTTATCTTCTTTACACAACTGTTTCTTTAGAAACACCGACGCAGCTCACACTAGTTTACCGCTAGTTCCCACCATTTTTCCATCCAGTATGGCGGATTTTGTGCCATGTTACCGTTTCATGTTAAAGCTCTAAGGACTCCATATCTTGGATAAAATTCCTTTTCCGAATCTTTCAGAAGGATATGTTTACTGTAGGCAGGGAAACAGGTCGCTTCGCGTCAGGCCCCCACGGGAGGAAATGATCAACCTTCAAAATAGGTTCCTTGGCCCCTGAGAATCGCCGCCCAGTCAGGGACCAGCGGAGCGGGAAATTGTTTGGAGGGGGCTAGCGACTAGCGAAGGCAGGAGGTACTAGGGGGTGATTCCCCCAGGAAAAATTTGAAATCTTAAATCTCGAAAACGTCATTTCCAGCGTTTTCAGGCGTTGTCCAAGACATATTTCTGACCGCTAAAACCGCACACACGGTCACAAGATATTCCAAAAAATCCCAAAGACTTCTCAAAAAGGCTTCAATTTTAATATTTTACCCTCAGTTTTTAAACAATCTTTATAGAATGAAAAGTGAAATTTTATAAGGACGCTCTTCACTTCTTTATCAACAAAATTCAAAGTGGCGGGAAAATTATTGGGGGGCTGTAGTCCCTCGGAGAAGATTTATATTTCTAGAGCTATTGCAATGACAATATTTTTTCGTGCTTTGTTTTGTTTATGGTAAGGTTTCTGTGTATGAGAGACTGTTGTCAACTAAGCAGCGGTTGCTCTCAGTTAAACGGGAAAATCTGAGGCGTATTTGAAAGTTGCAAGACCGAAAGGAGCTATGGGTAATAAATATCAAGCGATAAAGATCTAGTTTCAACGCGTTTCAACGAAGTTCGTTTTGGAAAAACACTCATGCTATGACGTGCTTTTTGGTTTATTATTCTTGTCATGCATTGTAAGCTTCTTCGAAATACGGAACGACCCTCGGGCGATACCGTTTGACTCGTGTGAAGACACCGGAAACGCTGAGAAGCAGTCTAGTGAAATACGTAATAACGAAAACATATGCGTCAGAATTATTCACAGCTTTGGTAGGAGGAGTTTAAAGCTTAAGTGCTTCAGGTCTTTCAGACAGTAAGCATCTATTTTTTCAGTAAACTTTCCTTTCTCTGAGCACTGCCAGTATTTGCGGAAATGGAGGGTTCGAACTCAACAGAAAGATTTGTGAGGTTAGTATAGATACGTTGTCTAGTTTTTTGGATATTGGTACGTTAACTATGAATCTATCATTAATTATTTATTGGTATTATTCACGATTCCGCTCGCACAATTTTTAGACGATTGCCTTTTATAATCTTTGATCGTTACTAATAAAAACTATATATAAAGGATATATCATGTCTTAAGTGTACCGTGCTGATTTTATTAAAATATATCTCGATTTCCCGATGGGTGTTAAATATGAATAAATTACTAATCAATTCCCAGAATTCGTGTTTGGAAGATTCAACTGAGACCGAAAGGGAGCATGGGTAATAACGATATATTTTTTGTCTGCAGTAATCACGGCCTACTCGCTTCTGAGAAATGTTAAAGCCAAATCACGATTCGATTCAAATTTATAAGTACACAGAATCCTTTTCGGTCTTTAACCTCTAAACTTCGTCACGCAACTGAAGTGTGAGGAGGCGGGACTAGGAATCATTTCCGCTTCATAAAATAATTTTAACGTTTCTATGGCAACATTTCCACGTAAAATATCAATTTGAGAATCACATTATTCTGTGTTGTTACGTTGACAAGTTTACACAGAGTACGTGGAAGGTTATGGGACGACAAAATGCCGGACGGAAATAGTTATTTTTATCCGAAAAGGTAGGATACGAGTTGTTGATCATGGCGTATGTGAAACTCTTACGCGTTTTCATGCGTAATACCGCTAAAGAAAAAAAAAGACTTTTTTCTTACGTAAAGCGCAACGCTCTGTTGAACGTATCACGGAGGCGAAATTTTGCATACAAGATTATGTTTTTTTGTCTATTTTAGTTAAGCTTTCGGTTTTAATTTTCAACCTTATTAATAGGTATAGCTAAAATTATTCAATTATATAGGAAACAGGAAGGGTTAGATTATTTCGGTTCTAGGAAAACTGAGCAGGTAATAGGTGCTCGTCCAGACTTGCTTGGCCTTCGATTCTCGTGATGAAGATCGTACGCGAGAGGAAAAGATTGGAGATTCTCATTTCAAACTGCAAATATATGCAGATAATATAAAAAAATGTGATTTATTATGAGTTATAGAAATAAAATAGTGTAAAATACTGAATGTGATTTCATGAATAACTTAGTTTTTAACATATTTTTAATCAATTTATTCAGATCTACTTGGGCCGTTAATATATTTTTTTTATTAATGTATAAAATTGTCAAATACATTTACAGCAAATATATTATTTTTTTGTCGCCCCCTTCCACTCCCCCGCTTAGATTGTTTTGGTCAGCCACGTGTCCAGGGTGTTAGAGAGAATTTGATCTTTGATCCGCCATWTCTTCAAATGTGTACATACATAGAGGTATAGTATTGTAATTTCAATTCTTTGTAGAGCTCCAACCAAAATGGATTTAGACAAGCTAAAGCTAGACCTTAAAGAACACGGACAAGAGCATCTATTGAAATATTGGGATGAATTAGACGAAGAACAGCAAGCTAGATTTTACGATGATATTCGCAGTATTGACTTAGGAAAGACGAACCGGTCTTTTGCAACAACCTTACAAGAAGCTGAAAACCACAAAGGCGAAAAGAAGGACGAGCGAATCAAACCAATGCCACCAGAGCAGATAGGAAGTGTCCCAAGAGCTGGTAGTTCTCTCAAAGTGTGGGAAGACCGCGGTCTTCATGAGATTTCCCAAGGAAAAGTGGCTGTTTTGTTGCTTGCGGGAGGTCAGGGAACACGGCTCGGCGTTTCCTATCCTAAAGGAATGTACAACGTAGGACTTCCTTCAGGAAAAACATTATATCAACTGCAGGCAGAACGCATATGTAGACTTCAAGAACTGGCTTTCCAAAAAAGTGGAAAACGATGTATAATTCCCTGGTAAGTTGATGAAATATAGTCAAAATATTGTTGTAAACTTAAAGTGACTTCACCATCTTGCGTGACAAACGAATCTCTTTCATTTCGAGGTGGGCTGTGTTTTTAGTATCAGCTGTTGCTTGACATAGATTTGCAGCCATATATTTAATTTCGTACTATTTTCAAATAGTGTTACGAAAATTTTGATTTTTGAGGGAAAGGTTGTAAAGCTTTCCGCTCCAGAAATTAAGCAAAATCCTGCATTAATTAATTATAGTTATATAAACTTAGTTGTAATGCTGGTATGTTTTTGCTGGTACAAATAAACATGATGAAAATAAAAAGAAACAAATCCCCCTTTAATCTGGAGTCACTAATTTTGACATCCATCTCAAATTCTCAAATTGATCAATGTTCATCCCATTTCAGACACTTCAGGGGTAGAATTCTTTGTTTTCTAGTGGCAGTCTCTATTTCAGTTCATTAATTCACAAAAATTCAATCAGAATAACTTCCTTAATATCATAAATATCCTCAATATTTTCTTTTTCTTTGAAGGTATTGCATGACGAGTGAGGCCACCAAAGAAAACACTGAAAAGTTCTTCAGTGATCACAATTATTTTGGACTCGAAAAGGAAAACTTTATCCTGTTTGAGCAGAACACTATACCGTGTTTGACGTTTGAAGGAAAAATTATTCTAGATAGTCCAGGAAAGATTGCCAGAGCACCAGACGGTAATGGTGGACTCTATGCAGCCTTATCTGCGCATAAGATCATAGAGGATATGAAGAAGAGAGGCGTGGAGTACATACATGTTTACTGTGTTGATAATATTCTGGTGAAGTTGGCTGACCCTGTGTTTGTTGGGTTTTGTGCAGAAAGGTCAGCAGAATGTGGTGCAAAGGTATGGTATTTTTCAAGTTTTCAATTTTACTGAAAACAGTGCAGTTGATTCAAGATTTCCTTTGAGAAGAGGTGAAATGCAGTTAGGTTGTCAGGGGGGTGTGTACCACAGAAATTGCTACAAAAGAGACATGGAAACATAGTTTCAAAGTCACCTTTGGGTTGGCGCACACACACCCTGAATCCACCTCCTCCTTTTGCCCCAGCATTAAGGGGAAGCAATCGACTTTCTTTTAATCCTTCATTGTAGGTTTGTGAGAAGAATTCTCCTACAGAAGCTGTTGGTGTTGTCTGCATCTGTGATGGGAAATACGAGGTGACAAAGACAAACTAAACTTTCACAATAGTCTCCTTTTGGGTTCCCTGCGCCATCTTGAAAGGTRGCCGGCTTTGCATCGAAGCGAGACAACCATTGAGTGTGCAATGATAGAAACCTTCTTTCACACTTACAGACAATTATTCACAGGTATCTATCATTGCACGCTCAACGGTTGTCTCGCTTCGATGTAAAGGCACAGCTACTTTTGAAGATGGCGCAGGTAACTGTGAAGGAGACGATTGCTCTGCCACCCCTAAAGACAGTGTTCTCATGACTAACTTTGCTTCTGTTTTTGTTAGTTTTGTGTTTTCACCAGGGGAGGCCGGGCCGGGTGTAACAGAGACCTACCTTGATCGCCAACAAGTTTCACTAACTTTTAGTTTTCCTAATAATTAAATGTTGTTCATGTTAAACATAGGTTGTTGAATACAGCGAGATATCGCTGGATGTTGCAGAAAGACGTGATCCTAACGGCAAGCTGACATTCAGAGAAGGAAGCATAGCCAATCATTTCTTTACAGTGAATTTTTTAGAGAGATTTTGCAGGTAAAAAATTGCAACAGGCATATTGTATTTTAATTGAGATTTCAGCTTTAATATCAGAGGTTTAACTTTAGCTTTTGCATTTGGTTTTCAGAGATCATGAAGATGAACTTCCATTCCATATAGCACAGAAAAAAATACCCCATGTGGATGAGAATGGAGAAAGGTATTTTAATTTAAAAATGTGCTAAAACATTCGGTTGTTTTGATTTTGCCTTTCAATTCAGTTGATTGTTCTCTTTTTTTTTCTGTCTTCTTTGTAGAGTAAAACCAACCACACCAAATGGCATAAAACTGGAAAAGTTTGTTTTTGATGTTTTTCAATTCACCGAGTAAGTTTGAAATGATAATATTACAATATTGGATCAAAAATGACAACAAAACTGACAGCAAAACATTAACTAATGTTTCCATCTGATTCACAGAAAATTTGCAGTGTTAGAAGTAACAAGAGAGGACGAGTTCTCACCTCTAAAGAATGCTGGTGAAGGCAAAGACAGCCCTGTCTCCGCTAGACAAGCATTACTTAACTTCCACTATAGACAAGTCATTGATGCAGGTGGAAAATTCCAGGACAGTAATGGAACAATTCTTTCCTCAACGTAAGTTCATTTTTCAGGGCTATTTGAAATTATTTCTGTTTTTTTTGGCTATAGTGCTATCCCCTTGAGCCTTATGAACTAATTTAATTATATCCATGTATGAGTTAGGCTCAGTTTGCAGTTGATGGATAATGGCTGAAATATTCATAGCAAACCTCGTTAGTTCTCTTTCTACTGTTCTGGGAGCTTTTACCCACATCTATCCCAAGTCACATTCTTAAGAAAATCTGTAGATAAGAAAGCAATAACACAGACACAAGCAGAGCTGAACAGGGATTTGACCTGTATCCTGCCAGCTTGAKAATGACAAAGGATACCAAAGAACTATCTAACATCACTTGGTCCACACAGCATGTCTTTGAGCCAAATGTTTTCCTATTATAATTATAGCCCATCCACTCACTCAGTCAAAAAGAACATTGAGGAGTTTTGTAGTGCTTATAGTTTGTATATTACAGTGTAATTGTCACTAAGGTTTGTTTTCAAGGTGTGTGTTGTTTCTTTTTCAGAAATGAAACAAATTCAATAGTTTGTGAGGTGTCTCCATTATTGTCTTACAAGGGAGAGGTAAAGAAAAATCACATGATAGGAATCCTACCATCTCAACTGAAACACCTTAAGATAGCCAAGATTATGTTATTAATTGTCAATCAGTACTTGCATTGATCAGGGTGGCAAGGGTGGCCCAGTGGTTAAGCTACTGGCCTCTCACCGCTGTGGTCCGGGTTCGATTCCCGGGCACGGACCATATGTGAGTTTGAGTTTGTTTGATGTGTTGTTCTCTCCCTTGCCACGAGGGTTTTTCTCCGGGTCCTCCGGTTTTCCTACCTCAGTAAAAATCAACATGTGAGGAGTGTTGTGTGCTAAAATACTTAAAGTAGAGGTAGTGAGTGTGAGAGTACAGGGTCCGCAGTAATTGGCTCACGCTGTTGCGGTGTCCCTGCCCATACTAGGGGCAAAGCTAATAAATTAAAATTAAAAATCAACCAAACGGTTAATGGGGCTGTCAGTCAATGAATTAATCTATCAATCAAACAGTCAATTGATCAATCAACCAGCTGTCAATCAATTTGTCAATCAATCAATTGTCAGGTTGTCAATCACTCATCAAACTATCAATCAATCAGGATAGTCAATCAATCAATCCGAAATCAATCATCAGGTTGTCAATCACTYATCAAACTCAGGCTCGTCAGTCTCATTGTAACAATAACTGGACAAGATCAGCTCTTTCATGAATAAAAATATCAACTTTTTTACAGGGTCTTGAAGATGTTGTCAAAGGAAAAACATTCATGGCATCAGAAGAAATTCACCTCAAATCACCCGAAGAAGAGGAAAATGGCGAACCACAAACCAAGAAAATTAAAGGAGATTAGATCTCTATAAATTGCAATATTGTGATTCAAAATCTACAATGAATATATCCTTGGCCAAGTTGTTAAAACCCCATAATAAGCATGACCCAGGATTGATTCCATAGCTTTTTTAAGAGTTAAAGGTAGAGCATTAAAGATTTAGCTTTGTGGCAAAGAACTGGAGCTCCAAAGTCTTCATCACTATCACTTCCAAGGCCCTGCTACATTGAAATAGGATGCTCCTAGATGGTAGAGTCATATTCTTCTGTTTTAATTCCTCATGGGAAAACAAAACAAATGAGTTTGGCTCTAGGGGAACCCTTTTCATGTAAACAGGGCCTAACAAAAAATCAAACAAAATTTTTAGAACTGCACCATTTAATCTCAGTAATTTTACAAACTTTTCTGATTTCAAATCAAAGTTGAGTTTTACCAGATTAATTATCTCAAAAAAATAATTCATTTGACAAAAAATTGATTTTATGGTAATTGATCTAAGGTTATATGAAATGATAATATTAATGGTCTAGCCAAGGGCGCTAGAACTGAAATTATGACCTATAAGATCCAAAAATTGCTTAATTTATCCAACATAAGATCGAGTCGATAATAAATTGTAAAGTTTTACTTATCTG